CGGTCACGGTCACCACCGGGATCAGGTCGAAGAGCAGGAGGTGGCGTGGGGGCTCTGGAGTTGCCAGGAGGACCGTGGTGACACCCGCGTGGCGAGCTGCATGAACTAGCCGCGGGGCGCCTGGGACCGGGATCAGAGACTCAGCGACCTCAGCCAGCTTAACGAAGAACCATGCAGCTACTTGGGTAGGGCACAATGTGGGCCATGCCTTCGGAGCCTCCGACAGCTTTGGGACTGGGCTTTCGTCGGCTTCCAAGGCATCACTACTCAGTGTTTTCAATGGTTCAGGAGTTTCACGATTGGTGGTGTCACTGTCAGGCGAACAGGACCCTGAAAGGTCACTAGATGATTTTTCCACAGATGTGTGCGGCTCGGGCTCAGGGACACACTCATGCGACTGGTCTACAGAGCTCTCCTGGCCCGTGGGACTCTCTTTGCTATGGGTTTGGGGAGTCAAGTCACATTCTTCTGGGACAGGGGGTCCTAGGCAATCCTGCCAGGTCTCCCGGACCGACATTCCGCACTTCAGCTCCGGAAGGCGGAGCCACGCGTAACAGGATTCTAGATCCAGTAGCAGCTCGGGCCCAGTGCCATCCAGAGAGAACACAGGCACAAGGAGTGTAAAGCCGGCATCGTAATGAGGTCCCCGGGCGTAGGGACCTAAGGGGGCATGCCCTAAATCTAGGGAGCCTTCGCGAATCCCACCGCGAAGCAGCAAGAGTTCTGCCTGAGATGGAAAACGAGGGTCCTGGCGGTGAACTAGACCTAAAGGAAGAAAAAGGATCGTGAAGGTATCAGGGTCCAAAGCCGGGGTGGGGAATGGTGAGGCTGGGGTTTGCAAATTCCCACAGTTGAGAATTACCTACCGAGCAAAGAGAAGACAAAATCCTTGGCTCGGAGAAGATCAGCTCCAGGCTTGGGCCCTTCACTCCAACTCTCCTGAACACCCAGCTCCTGAATCAACTGAGTCAGCTCCTGCAGCTGTGCGCCAGAGCAAAAGTCGATGTCTGTGAGCGGCCGGGCTGGGGCTGGGGGTGGCGGGCCCCACCAGGGGGCACTGCCCCAGACGGTGGAAGCCATGGTTCTCTATGGTTTGGGGCTAGGGCAAACAGATCCCTGGCAGGCCTTTCTTTGCTGCCCAAAAGTTCTCCAGTTTTCCCTTCCTTCTGAGGTGGAACAAGGGCTACAGACAATCCACAAGTGGGTCTTGCAGATGATGCGTTCTGCGTTTAATCTTCGAAATGAACAAATGACTACTTCCTCCTTTGCTTAGATGCAGATTGCGGCCGGATTAATCAGTTCACCTGACTCAGCAGGTAAAAAAAAAAAGGCTATTTGGGCCCTCCTGGGGAATACAGCAGCCAATTTTTGCCACCACCCTTTCCCACCTCCCTCTACCTCTTTTTCAGAAGAGACTTATTGGTCCACGGCTTTCCGATTAAGGGGTCGCCGGAAAGGTTGTGAACAGAAAGCAGGATAAAAGATTCTACAGGTAACTTCCTGATGGTCACATGTCCACGCCCTTTTCTGGAAGCTGTCTGGGTGGTTCTGGATTGGTCCCGCCTCCTGTGAGAGTTCAGTCACGTCTTTCACCCGGCTGAGATGTTACGCTGGGAGTTGTAGTTTGTTTCCCTTCAATGCTGGTGCGTTGGAGCGGTCCCTACACGCCCTTTCAAGTGTGCTAAAGTAGTGTCTACTGGAAGCTGTAGTTTGTTTTTTTTCCTCCCTTCAATTTTTTGTTTTGTTTTGAGACTGAGTTTCACTGTATAGCTCTGGATGGTTTGGAACTTGCTATGTAGACCAGGCTGACTGCAACTCATACAACTCAGCCTGCCTCTGCCTCCTGAGTTCTGGGGTTAAAGACATACAGCAACATACTTGACCTTTTTTTTTTTTTTTTTTCCTTCAAAGTCTTGTTATATAGCCCAAGCTGGCCTGGAATCACTTTTTTTTTTTGTTTGTTTGTTTAAATGTATATTGGTGTCTTGTCTGCATATATGCCTGTGTCAGATCCTCTGGAACTGTAGTTACAGATAGTGTGAGCTGCCATGTGGGTGCTAGGATTTGAATCCCAGTCCTCTGGAAGAGCAGCCAGTGCTCTTAACCAATAAGCCATCTTTCCAGCAGCCCAGCCCCCCCCTTCAGCTTTCTTGGTTCTGGATTTACAGGCTTATGCCACTATACCCAGCTGGAAGCAACAGTATATTGTGTGTCTAATCAATCCTACATAAACACTCCTTGGAATTGGAGATGACGGATAAGAACACGGTTGGATCCCAATAGTGAAAAATAAAGGACATATACTTCATTCTGTTTGTGGGGCTCCATGGTCTCTTAGATGAAGCTCTTTTCAGGGAATTTTGACTCATTTTATTTTAGCTTTGTTTATTTACTTGAGGCAGGGCCTCATTGTATAGCTATGGCTGGCCTGAAACTATGAAGACCAGGCTGGCCTCGAACTCCCAGAAATCCACCTGCCTCTGCCTCCCAAGTGCTAGCATTAAAGTCCCTGATCATTTTGGAGACTATGGCTTAGAAAAGCTGTGCCGGGCTTGGGAGATGGAGATAGGATGATGACAGGCTGAAAGCTAGTCTGGGCATTTTTTTTTTTTAAATTTAATGTACATTAGTGTGGAAGTGTCAGATCCACTAGAACTGGGGTTACAGACAGTTGTGAGCTGCCGTGTGAGTGCTCGAGTCCTCTGGAAGAGCAGGCAGTGCTCTTAACCACTGAGCTATCTCCCCAGTTCCCAGTCTGGGCAGTTTAGACTTCCTTTTTAAAAAGGAAAAAGCAGGCCGGGCGTTGGTGGCACACACCTTTAGTCCCAGCGCTTGGGAGGCAGAGGCAGGCCTCTGTGAGTTCCAGACCAGCCTGGTCTACAAGAGTGAGTTCCAGGACACCTCCAAAGCCACGGAGAAACTCTGTCTGGAAAAAAACAAAAATAAATAAAAATAAAAAGGAAAAAGCTGAGCATGGCAACACGACTTTAATCCCAGTACTTGGGATGCAGAGGCAGATAGATCTCTGTGAGTTCAAGACCAATCTGGCCTGCATAGAGAGTTCCAAGACAGCCAGGGCTACATGATGAGACTTGTTTTTTGTTTTTTTTTTAAGTAATAATAATACATATGACTTGTCCAGGGTCAGAGTTAAGTGAGATAGTTTGAAAACAGGCTCTCTTGATTGGTAGGAAGGCATCTTCCTGGAATCAATGGTAGTAATATTAAGGTAGGAACATGTAAGGTGACACATTAATGGACATCTGAACCCTGGTGGGGATTGTAACCAGCAGCGCTCACATCAGACATGAGAATCATTACAGGGAAAACACTCGGGGATTTGAAGTTACATGTATACAGAAGCTGTTAGGACTGAAATTGAAATTCAAGGGAAACTCCCAGCTGACATGAAGTCAGGCCACAAAAACTAGGACAGGAAAATGCTTTCAGTAACCTATTCTACCAGAAACCAGAATAAGGGATCAAAACATAGCACAAACATAGGGTGGGGCTGGGAGTGTGGAAATGGCACAAGTAGTAAACCAGTAAACACAAAGTAGGCCCACAGACCAGACTCCTCACCAGGCCGGGGCTTCTTACACTCCATCTGCCTCTGATCACTAATCCTCTAGGATTGTGACAAGTGTGGAGGCTCAAGTTTATAATCCCAGCACTTGGGCAGCTGAGGCAGGAGGACTACCATGAGCTAGAGACTTAGGTGCAGAGCCAGTTCCAGGTGGACCTCGCCTAGAGTGAGACACAACCTGAAATTGGGGTAGGGCAGAGTCTGTAAAGTAACTCCTGGAACTAAAGCTTATCTGGGAAGCCCAGACCCAAGGTGTTTCAAGACATTGCCAAGGACAGCCACTGTAGGGGAAACAGAAATAACCAGGGACATGGATTTATGGATCTGACTGTGACCCAAGAGGCTAGATCAAGGGGCGTCAAGACTGGGTTGGGTTTTTTTTTTTTTTCCCAATTTATTTTTGTGTGTGGGTGTTTGGCTTGCAAGAGTTTCTGTGTGCCATATGCGTGCCTAGAGCTCTTGGAGCCAGAAGATGGCCTCAGATCTCATGGGACTGGAGTTACAGATGGTTGTTAGTCACCATGTGAGTGCTAGGAATTAAACCTGAGTTTTCTTAATTGCTGAGCCATCTCTCAAGCTCCATGTATGAATGTTTTTGCCTACATGTATATATGTGTACCATGTGATTGCCTGGTACCTTCAGAAATCAGAAGAGGGCATTGAATCCGCTGGAACTGGCGTTATGGATGATTGTAAACCACTATGTGGGTGCTGGGAACTGAACCTGGGTCCTCTGAAAGAGCTGCTAGCGATCTTCTCTGCTGAGCACTCCCTGTAGGTCCTGACGGGCATTGACATTTGTGCATATCTTTCTGAAGCACTCTAAAAATTAACAAGGTTCTCTGTTTTTTCTGAGAGCCTTAAAGATATTGGGAATAGCAAGTATTTGGTGTATGCCTTTAGTCCCAGCACTCAGGAGGCAGAGGCAGGGGGATCTCTGAATTTGAAGTCACCTTGGTCTACAGAGAGTCCTAAGACAGCCAAGGCTACACAGAGAAACCCTGTCTCAAAAAAGAACAAAAACAATAAATAATAAATGAAAATGTTGGGATGGATGAAAAGGAATGTTCTTTAAAGAGAACTTGAAAGCATCACTTCCCAATAAAATAGAATTTTCTTTTATTTTTAAAACTTTCTTGCTCTATTCTCTCTCTCTCTCTCTCTCTCTCTCTCTCTCTCTCTCTCGCTCTCTCTCTGTGTGTGTGTGTGTGTGTGTGTGTGTGTGTGCTGGAGAGTGTGTGGAGGTCAAAGACAACTTGTGGAAACTGGTCCTCTCTGTCCACCTTTTATATCCCATGAATCAAACTCAAGTCATCAGGCTTGACTGCTTTACCCATTCAGCCATCTGACCAGCTTCCCCCTCTTTCTTTCTTTCTTGCTTTCTTTCTCTTTTCTTTTCCTTCTTCTTCTTCTTCTTCTTCTTTTCTTCTTCTTCTTCTTCTTCTTCTTCTTCTTCTTCCTTCTTCTTCTTCTTCTTCTTCTTCTTCTTCTTCTTCTTCTTCTTCTTCTTCTTCTTTTCTTGCTCCTCCTCCACTTCCTCCTCCTCCTACTTTCTCTTAATTTTCTTGTTTTTGGAGACAGAGTTTCACTGTGTAACTCTGGATGTCCTGGAACTCGCTCTGGAGACCAGGCTGGTCTTGAACAAACAGAGACCCACCTGCCTCTGCCTCCCAAGTGCTGGGAATAAAGGCGTGTGCCATCACTGTTCTGCCTCCCTTTTTTCTAATTACATTTTTATTTTGTGTTTGTGCATGTGCACATCCATACATCCATGGCTCAGCTTGCACATGGAGCTCAAAGGACACCTTGCAGTAATTACCTCTTTCTACCTGGGAATCAAGCTCACATCAGATTTGGCAGCAAGCACCTTTACCTTGTGAGCCATCTCACCAGACCCCTTTCCTTTCCTTTTTATTGAGACAGGGTCTCATGTAGGTCAGGTTGTCCTTGAATTCCTAATTCTCCTGTCTCTGCTTCCCAAGGTCTGAGGTTGTAAAGCATAACCACCATGCCCGTCTTTAAAGGAAAGAATGATCTGTGATACCTCAGGTGTGGTGGCTCATACCTAGAATCCTAATTCTTAGGAAGCTGAGGCAGAAGAACTTTGCCTCCAATTTGAGGTCAGCCTGTACCTATACAGTCCCTTCAACCTTCCAGAAGTATCGACAGATGTCTATACCTCCCCAAATCAACTGAGGGCCCCATTGTCCCAGACCAGGCACCCAGATAGGTCTTTGATGCCCACCAGAAACAGTAACTGACAGGGAAAACTGTGAAGCTCTGTCTCTTAGGTATCCTTGTCAAGAGGCAAATTACACAACACAGTGAGCATCAGGATAACCTCTGAGAGACAGAGACAGAGAGAGACAGAATCCACTGCCACCTCCTGTAACAAAGCCAGGCAAAGTGGTGCTGCATGCTTACAATTCCAGCCCTCATGATGCTAAGGCTTCATGGGTGCAAATTGGAGTCCAGTATGGGCTATAGGCTATAGAATGAGTTCATAGCTAGCTTGGGCTACATAGCAAAAGCCTGTCTCAATTTTTTTTCTATGATGGAACCATCCTGAGTCTTTGCTGTCTGGCTACATGTGGCTGTCAGAACTTAAAAATGTAGAGACTATGGGTGGCAGGGGAGGAGGGGAGGTAGAGGGAACTGAGATTGACATGTGAAAGAAGCTTGTTTCTAATTTAAATTTAAAAAATGTAGAGACTGAAGAACAGAATTTAAATTGTTTTTGTCTTTTGAGACAGGCTCTTGCTATGTAGCTCTGTCTGGGCTCAAAATGGAAATCACTCTTACATTCTGATCTCATGGATGTGCACTACTCTACCCAGCTCAAATTTTTTTAAAAAAATTAACTTTTTTATGTGCACTGGTGTGAAGGTATCAAATACCCTGGAACTGGAGTTACAGTTGTGAGCTGTCACGTGGTGGGTGCTGGGAATCGAATCCAGGTCCTCTGGAAGAGCATTCAGTGCTCTTGACCACTGAGCCATCTCTCTAGCCCCCCCAATTTTTTTGAGACTGGATCTATGTAGCCCTGTCCTAGAGCTTATCATGTAAACCAGACTGGTTTTGAACCCACAGACCTGCCTCTGCCTCATGAGTGCTGGGATTAAAGGCACACAGTTTAAACTTATTTTTTTATATGTGTGGGTAATTGCCTGTATATATGTCTGTGTACCATGTGCAGCAGACCAGAAGATGAGAAATAGCATTGACCCTGGCACTGAAGTTACAGACTACTGTGCGCCAATAGGTGAGTGATGGGAATTGAATCTGAGTCCTCTAGAAGAGCAATACTTGCTCTTAACAGATAAGCCATATCCCAAGTCCCCTCAGAATCTTTTTTTTTTTAATTTTTTTTTCTTTTTGAGACAGGATCTTGAACTCATTATATAGCTGAGTTCCTTTTAACTCCTGACCCTCCTACCTCCACCCACCAAGTGCTGGGATTATAGGTGTGCAAACAACGTTTGGTGAGAATTTTGAATTTTAATTGACATCCTAATAGTCACATTTGGATAGTGGCTACTATCTGTTTTCCTGAAACACAGCTCTTGAGTCTGGGAGATAATGGGCTTGATTATGGAGCTGTGGAGGAAGAATAGAGGCTTGTTATTTCTGTGTCTCTTTAAGACGAGGATGGTCAGTATGAGGGGTAGAGCTGGGATGGAGAGCCTCAAACAACCACAGAATGCTTCTCTTGCCTCTTTATTCCTGATGGACATTTGCGCCCTCTTTTTCCAAGGTCTTCATCACATTTTGATATCCCCATTCCTTCTGGATCTCCTCTGAGTTTTTTAATACTTCTTGACGAGGGCGCCTGGGAAACAGAGCTTCACACTTTTCCCTGCCAGTTACTGACTGTTTATGGCGGGAATCAAAGACCACATGACCTGTCCGGTTGCTTGGTCCAGGACAATGGGGCCTCCAGTTTATTTTGTGAGGAATAGACGTCTGGCGATACTTCTGGCAGGATGAAGCAACTGTATTTACACTGTGGCATGCCCATTCTTGGTTGTCTAATCTCTGGGAGGATGGCTGTAGTTCAATTAGGACAGGTACCTCTGAAAAACTTTTCAGGTCATGGGGGAGCATTTGGGCCTTGGAAGGGCAGGAGCTTTGGTTGACTGGCTCTGTATTGTCCATCTTGCATACAAAGGATTTCACTGGGGAAGATGTCATCTTTAGTGCTTGTAGTGAGCCCAAGACTTGGGCAGAAGCAGTACCTGGAGCAAAGCTTGTTTTTTTGTTGAGGCCAGCTTGCTGGGTAAGGCCTGAGTCCCTAAGGGGGTCAGCTTGCTGGGTAAAGCCTTGCATCTTAAAACCAGAGCCTTGGCCTGGTACTGGGTTCTGATGACGGCCAGAGTCTTGATCAATTGCTGGGCATTCCTGAAGGTTAGGGTCTTGGCTGTGCTCTGAACTGTAAATGCCAACATCTTGGTTAAGCTCTGATCTTTTTTCTGCTATGGTGACATTGATTGGGCAGGGACTCTTGTGGGAGTCGGTGTCTTGGTTTAGATCTGGGACTCTGTAGATTCCAGAATCTTGGGTAAAGCCTAAATTCTGGTAGTCTCCTGAGTCTTGTGTGAGACCTGAGCTCTTATGGAAGCAAGAGGCTTGGATAAGACCTGGGCTCTTGGAACTAGATTTCTGAGTAAGTCCCGAGTTTTTGTTAATTTCAGAGTCTTGGGTATGGCATGGGCTCTTCTGTGGTCTGGAGTCTTGAGTAGGGTCTACATTCCTGCAGACTCCTAGAGGCTGTGCATTTCTTGAACCACTGTTGCCTTCACAATCTTGAGAGGGATCTGGCCTCTTTTGGTCGGTTACTGGGGAGAGATCTTTATTTTTGTTGATTACAGTATCTTGGTTTAATGAAGCAGTCCTGAAGACCACAGAGTCTTGCATAAAGCTCAAAGTCCTCTGACCAGATGTTTGATTGAATATTATATTCTTGTGGAGCCTGGAAGGTTGGATGAAACCTAAGTTTCTAAGGACACCAGCATCTTGGGTAGCAGCTGAACTCCTTAGGCTGGAATCTTGAGTGATATCTAGGTTCTTTTGAGGGCAAGGGTCCTGGGAAACGTTTGGATTAATGCAGAGGAAAGGATCTTGAGTACAGGCTGGAAACTTGTAGAAACCTGAGTTCTTGTGGAGACATGGATTCAGGATAAGGCCTGGGTTCTTCTGAAGGCCTGGATTTGGAATAAGGCCTGGGTTCTTCTGGCATCCTGGATTTGGGATAAGGCCTGGGTTCTTTTGGAGTTCTGGATTTGAGGCAAGTCCTGGGATGTCCTGGAGTCCTGGATCTTGGGTAAGGCGTGGGTTCTTCTGGAGTCCTGGGTCTTGGGTAAGGCTTGGGTTCTGGAGTCCTGGGTCTTGGGTAAGGCTTGGGTTCTTCTGGTGACCTGGATCTTGGGTAAGGCCTGGCTTCCTGGGAACTCTAGAATCCTTAGCAAGGGATGGGGTCTTTTGAAGGTCAAAACCTTGGTTAAGGTTTTGATTCTCTGGGTTTGGGGGTTGGGTTAAAGTTTGAGAAGTGGTGGTGAACTGAGAAGGGCTAGCGTAGTAAGCGGAAGAGACAGTCTGAGGAGACTTGGAGGTTGAGAGAAAGGTGGAGGTTTGTGTCAAATTGGAGGGCATCTGATGATTAGATTGAGGAACAACAAATGTTCTTGGAGAAACAAGCGGCACAGCAAGAGTACACGGTGGGGGTACGGTGGGCAGTACGCTCTGAGCAGTGCTTGGAGAATGAAAACAAGGTTTAGAGGGAGTGGTATCTTGGGTGTAGACCAGGAACTTGGGGTAGACTGGAGCCTGGGGGTCTTTGTTTATGCTCTCAGAACAGCAAGGATGAAAGCTGCAGTGAGGAAAGGTCTTTGGCTGGGAGAACTTGTCTTCGGCATTATCTGAGATCTTCCATCCTGTGTTTCCCACCTTCAGGTAACCAAGTATAGACCCAGCAGGAGGCACAGCACTGTCCCCACCATGCTGCTTTGGTGTTTGTTCAGAAGTACCAGAATTCACCAGGCCCTTCACCTCTTGGGGCCTGGAGGGGATGTTCAAGTCCTTCCTGAAACACCTCAAGTTCTGGGAGTTGTGCTTAAGGAAGACATTCTGCTTTACTCTGCGGGCATCATAGAGTGTATGGCCCGTGGAGAAGCTGGGGTCAAAGGTAGCCAGCATGGACGGAAGAGGAGATATGGTAGGGGTAGAGTTGGTAACAGGGACTTGAGCAGAGGCCTGAGTAGTTGTCATGGTCATAGATAGTGCTAGGGCAGGGGCTGGGCCAGAGGTTGGGCCAGGCACTGGGGAATGGGCATGCGAATGAAGTAGGGAATTGGGTGGGGCATGCGCTGAGGCTTGAGATGCTGTTTGCTCAGGGACATCTGCTTGGGGGTGGGTCAAGGTGTGTACTAGGGCTTGGGCTGGGTCATGGCCTTGGCATCGGAAGTAAGCACTTGCAGGAGCCTGGATTGGGGGTTGAGGTGATGTATGGACTGAGGTTTGCTCAGGGGTGTGGGCTAAACTCTGAGTTTGGGGTGGGACTGGCACCTGGAGTGTGACAGGGGCCAGGATATGGGGCTGAGCCTGATCCAAGGTATGGGCTTGACTGTGGGTTGGGTCCTGGACTGAGGAATAGGGTGGGGTGGGGGCTGGGTTATGGGATGGGGTTGAGGATGGAGCATTGCCTGGTGTTGAGGCTTCACTGAGGGCTGGGGTAGGAGCTGAGATAAAATCTGGTGCGTGGGCTGGTGGGGTATGGGCTGAGGTATGCTCAAGACCCTGTGCCCTGGACTGAGTGGGTTCTGAAGTCTGAGTCTGGGACTGAGTGGAGGGGAGCTCATGAGTGTTGGTTGAAGAGTAGGTTAGAGCCTGGGACGGAGCACGGGGTGGATTGTCATCTGGTGCCTTAGTCTTGCTCTCTTGGGGTGTAGGAGGTGGGACCCTGTTCAGCTTGATTATCTTTGGAGTCCGGGGAGAAATCTCTGGCCTGAAAAATAAAGCCTGAGTCTTTATGAATGTGGTCTGAGGGACTTCCCCAGCCCCCATCAGTCCCTCTTTCCACAATTCCCATGAAGCTTCTGTGGGAGCTCTGCCATGTCTACATTGGGGTGGCATCCAGCAGCACCTAGAAACATTCTCATCATTTGTGTCTGGTATCCTAGAGTCAAGGTGATTGACATCCCCGAGGAGGAAATTGGGGTGGCGATGAAATCGGGGAGGCATTCTTGAGCACAGGTTCTTGGGATCTTCAGTGCAGTGCATGTACATGGGTCGGCTGTTTAGACCAGCAGGTTGCCTGTCTGCAGGGAAAGGAGGATGGGAAAAGACAGGATGTCCAGTTGGAAATTGGACCTGTGACAAAGGGGACAAGCCACATCCCCAGGAGACCATGTAGGAACCCGCTCACCTTTGGGGAAAAAATGATGGAAAAGAATCCTCAGTGAGTTCTTCAGATGCTTCCAGAGCTGAGGGAAGCAGAGGAAAGAGAGCCCAGAAGTGGGGTGAGCCCCAAAGGCCAAAATTTGCCTGGCCAATCCCAGCAGCCCTCCTCCCACTTGAGCCCCTCAAACTCCTCAGACCTCAGGCTAAGGATGGTGTCACTTGGCTGTAATGACAGCACTCAGGAGACTGAGGCAGAAAGAGCTTAAGCTTGGGATTCAAACAGCCACATAGTGAGACTTTGTCTCAAAACAAATAAGTGAACAAAGCCCAGAGCCCCCTCCACCCTGCTGCCCAGACCCTGCCCTGACCAGAGTCACCACATTGATTCCCACGTTGAGCAAGATGAAGCTGCCCAGAATCAGAAGAATGGAGTCTCCTAAATCCTGGCATCTCCTGAGGTTGGTGCCAGAGCATGTTTGGGCTCCATGGTAGATATGCTCACCCATGACCTGGGGTCCCAGGACTACCTGGGCCCCATGGCCCCTACATACTAAGAAGCAGACTCCCCTAGTGGGGGAGGGGAGGAGACCTGAGTCACAATGGAGCAGGTGATCACAATGAGATGGTGGACAGAAGGGTGCGGGATGAGGTTCCCTGGTAACCAGGCCTGAGTAACCTAAGCCTATAGGCAGGCCAGCACCCCTCCCTTTTGTCAACTATTCCCCCACAGTGATCTGATTCACTCAACCCAAATATACCTCATGCCATCACTCATGCAGTTGAAAACCCAGAATCTCACCCCTTGATCACTCCTGAGACTAGGAGGCTCTTGACCTCAGAGACCTGGCTGAAATCTAGAGCCTTGGTATTCTTCCCGAACTGGACCTCAAGCTTTTATCCATCTCTTTTTCTTTCTTTTCCCGAACAAGTTTATTTTATGTATGAGTGTTTGACTGCACATGTTTGTGCTACATGTATGCCTGGTATACATGGAGGTCTGAAGAAGACATCGGGTCCTCTGGAACTGGAGTTACAGACGGTTGTGAGTCACCACATGGGTGCTGGGAACTGAACCCAGGTCCTCTGCAAAAGCAGCAAGTACTCAGCCAAAGAGCCACCTCCAAGCCCCGATCTCAGTTTCTCTAGCAGAGCTGAGTCTGTCCCTTTTGGGAACAGGAAGAACTGAACAAGGTGGGTGCTCTGGAGACCCGTGATTTGCAGGTTTCGGTTTAAGACTTTTCAGACAGGATCAAGAGGGGTCTACTGGCAGGAACATGGCCCCTGAAGCAACAGGCACATCATGACAAGGAGAGACTGGTTTCTCATTTCAGGAATCCCGAGCTAATGAGAGGTATTTCCAAACCATAAACAACAAGGGTTTCTGGACACTTTTCTCTTTATTCCTTCCTCCATGCCCTGCTCCACTGCCCACATTCACCTGCTGGTCAGTTAAGTTTCCCTGTCCTGCTTCTATGCAGAGAGGGCCTTGAAGCTGAGGTAGAAGGTGGTGGCAATGAGCTGGCCCGCCCTCTGTTCTCCTGCACCTGCCTCTTCAGTTCCAGGCTGTCATACACCTGGTAGTTGGCATTGCCACCTGGATTCCGACTAAGGGGAATAAAGGTGGTAGGAGGTGGGGTTGGATCAGAAGCCTGGATTTCAGGTAAGGGCTGGGAGCAGTGAGGGATTATCAGGCCGGAGCTGGCAGCCGGAGCCCTTTGGTAAGCCTCACCCAATGCTGTGAGGGAGGTAGAAGTGGTTAGAGGGTGCCGAGAAGGAAAAGCCTCAGTCCAGTCACCTGCCCGCCTGCGGAAATCATGAGATTCCCGGGAGCTGTAACCCACGTGTCCTACGAACTGGGGTGAACTGTGGGTATAGCTAGGGAGACTCTGCCGGTGGGCCTGTGGGGAGTTGTGCTCCCGGTAGCCCTGGGCCTCTGGCCTGGGATTCCTGGATACAAAGGCAGGTGTTGGCTCATAGCTTTCCACCCCACCCTGCCGCTGATCCCAGGCATCATGCGGTATGTGGCCCCCTGAAGAGAAAGGGCTGTAGCCCACAGTGACCCAGGAAGGGTTAGGAAGCAGCCGGCGGGCAGGTGGTGGTGGTGAAGCCCATGGCTCATTTTCCACATTTCCCCAAATCCGGGACTGTGAGTAATGGGGACCGAAAGCCTGAAGCCTCAGTTCTGACTTGGCTTCTACCCGCTTGGGCAAGCGGCGCAGCTCTGGTGACAGGTAGATAGAGGGTAAGGGGAGGCTGGCGAGGATTCCACCCTTGCGGCCCCACAGTCCCACATTGGAGGCCATACTCGTTGGCTTATAAAAACCGCCCCAGCTCCTATGCGGGCAGGACTGGTCATCATCCAGGGGGGGATCCTGGTCTTCCAGGTCACAATAGGGCAGTGGCCTTGGCTGTGACGTGTTGTATCTTTGAGGTTGTTTACGAAAGAGTTGGTAGCGGTGGGGGAACTGCCTGTTGTTTCTAAACCTCTGCTGGTGGCTGCGGCGGCCCTGTGGGTAGCGGTTGTGGCTGCCCTGTTGGTAGCGGCTCCAGCGCCTGCGGCGGCGGCGCCTGCTGCCATAGGGCTTACGGAGATAGTGGTAGGAGGAAGAGGAACAGGGTGTGGGTTGCGCCATCTTCACTTGTACAGGGTCCAGGATACAGTGGATGTGGACGTCCTGGACATTGGCTGTGGGCTCTTTGGGGGGGCGTTCAGTAGCCTGGACTTCATTAGCTACAGACAAAAGCCAAAAAGTTCAGGGTTAGGAACACTTGGTCCAACTTTTTTTTTTTTTTTGGGGGGGGGAATCCGGGTGTGTGTGGCACTATTGTCTAGCATACTTACTTTTCTGATTCATCCAACAGATCATCTTGTCTAAGGCATTCTGGAGCCCATGCCACATCTGGGGGTGGTGGGGAGATGGAAGTGAAGACCAGCTTTCTGATACTGTTTGGTTTCCCAACAATCCCACCCATTTCTGCAAGTGAAGCAAGCTCGAAGCTGCCTTTTCCACTCAACCTTCTTCTTCCCTATGGGTGAGCCACAGTAATCACTGACCACAGTTGTCACATTGATGCTGATGTGGACAAGAATGATGAGGCCCAGCAGCAGGAATAGGATGTCCTCAGGATCCTGGGGGCTTTCTTGGTATTGATTGCAGCCCCCCAGGGTACCCTGCCACAGGTGGTTTTCCATGGTGGGGGGGTCCTAAGGCCACCTGGGCCACTACCCCCCCACCCAGTCCAACCCACACTGTATTCATGCCAGTACGGAGAGATGCTTACTATCTGGGAGAGGAAGCCAGGTCATAATGAAGCAGGTTAGAGTCATAATGGAGAGGTAGAAGCTCTTTTATTCACTAATTTGACCCCTTACATGACAATTTTTATCCTGGCCTTCCATTTGATAGAACATGGCCCAGATGCACTTAGGTTCAGTCTTCTCCGCCTCCACTCTTAACCTCACATTCGGGGGGGGGGGGGGTTAAGAGAAAGTATGGTAGCTAAATAGTCATGAGACAATCTTCACAAGGTCAAAATATCCATTAGGATTTCATTGCTCTTCTGAGACATGGCAACATATATTGACATGTCACATTTATTGCCTGCTTTGAGATCAAACATCTAAAGTGATAATGAATGACACATAGCAGTGCCAACTCTTCCCCATCCTGGCCGGTTCCTTGTCGTAACCCTTTTAATACTAGCACCCATGTCCAGTGCTGGTTCATTTGCTCAGCATCCCACAGACTTGCACCTTGATGAGACTGCTGTTGACAGCTATCAGCATCGACTGTGGTCCTCCCCTCCTTCCAAAGAAACTGTGATCTCATCGACCCATCCCCTACTCCAAGTTGAAAAGCCATCAACTGCCACCTTAAGAAAAACAATAGCAATGAGCTTGTCAGTCCTAGCTGCTAGACAGGCTGAGGCAAGAAGAGCTCTAGTTCCAGGCTAGTGATACCATCGAAAAAACGAAACAGTTGACACAGCTAACAAAGTATAAAATAGATAAATAGATGTAATTGTTGGTATGGCAGGCGTCTTTCACGTAAACTAGATTAACAATCACTTATCTGTGAAAGTAGCACCTTGGTTGAAAGTGTGGGTCTTTTGTTTGCTTGGTTTTTTTTGTTTTGTTTTGTTTTGTTTTTTGATGATAGAATCTAGCAGGAGATATAGAGATGGCTCAGTAGTTCAGAGTGCATACTGATCTTTCAGAGGACCCAAGTTCAGGTCCCAGAACCCAGGTTGGGTGGCTCACAAGTACTTAGAACTTTAGTTCCAGATGATCAGATACCCTCTTCTGGATTCCACTGGGAACTGCACTCAAGTGCACATACCTGCCTCCATATAGACACCTAATTTTTAAAAAAATCTAAAAACAACAAAGAGGGCCAGGTATGGTGGCACATGTCTCTAACCCTAGTACTCAGAGGCAGAGTACAAGACCAACCATGATCAACACAGTGGCTTCCAGGCCATCCAAGGCTATATAGTAAGACCCTGGCTCAAAAAGACAAAACAGTGTCTTATGCAATCCTCCCTTGTCTGGAACTCAAGATGATCAAACTGGCCTTGAACTTGCAACACCCTGCCTTTGCCTCTGGAGCTCTGGGATTATGTACATGCAACACCAACACCCTACCAACAAGTCATTTTTGCTGTGTTTTGAGATAGGATCTCATGTAAACCAGGGTGACCTTGGAAAACTATAGTTAAGGACATCCTTGAACTCCTTGATCTTTCTGCTTCCACCTGCCAACCAAGAAGGTTTTATACTGTAACCTACTCAGCAGAAAGGGGGAGAGGTGTTTCCCATGACCTCCAAACACAGTATGTGCCGTACTTACTATGTATCCACAGAATAAAATTAACTTGAAATGATCAATAACATTCTGTTTGGGGTTTTTGTTTTGCTGATATGGTTGTCTGGCTATTGTAGCCCCCCATCTATCCTAGATCTGGGCAGGTAACACTGTCTAGCTTTGAACTTGCAGTGACCATCCTACTTCAGCCTCCTGAGTATCAGGGTTACAGGCCTGTGCTAGCGCTCAACTTGTAAACAAAAGTAGGGTGATTCACAGAAAATATGCTCACATTCCTGGAACCCATCTAGTATGAAAGGTGATGTCCAGTGTCCTCAGCATGGGGTCACATGGTTTCTTGTTCTCAAGATTTTGTGCGCACACGCATAGGCAAATCTCAGCCAACTAGGAGCAGGGCAGGAGTTCATTTTTCCTTCTGTCCAGTGGATGGAATATTTGGAAGAGATCACATGGTAAAGTGTAGTCTGGGCTGATTCATTGGCTGTGGGAATTTAATCCATCAGCAGGAATGGGGAGGAGGGGTAGAAAGTTTTAAGGCTGTGAACATGATCCCTGGTATCTGTGGCCACAAGCAAGTCACTTGGCTTGAGCCTCCATCTTTCCTTTGTGACATGGAGAGGCATATAGCCACAGAAGGCTGAGACATTATGGGATGGCATCTCTTGAGCATGTCCCTATTATTTTACTTCCTGCTTCTAAGTCTACTCTCAGATTGCAGGAACTTCAGGTTCTGCCTAGGAGATTGTGAGAGCCCAGAGACCCTCTGTCACAGCCATCTTTGCCCAAAGAAACTAGAGCATTAGAGGGACCCTGTTTCTGCAGGATCTGCTGCCTAACCCTGGCCTCCTTAGACCTCGAAGCTAGGACAATGGGGCCTGAGGTCTTTCCTCTAGTTCATGACTGCCTGGGGATCTGGCTGGATTTGGTGGCTTCTCTGGGCACTAAAGAAAACAGGGTACAGGCTGTTGGGAGCCCTGGGGATCTGGCTGGATTTGGTGGCTTCTCTGGGCACTAAAGAAAACAGGGTAGAGGCAGTTGGGAGCCTTGGAACTAAGAAGGGCCTTGAGAAGGGCTCAGGACAGGGCCAATGAAGGCAAGAAATGAAGGGTCCCCAGGGCTCTCTAGGTCCTGTTTCAAGGGAGGTCATTCTCTTAACCAGGGATTCTGGACATCGTGTACACCACCCCAGACCACCACGAACCACTTTCTCTTTCCTTTTTATTTTTTTTTCCTAGTCATTTTCCCTTCAGGGGACGGTACACCCAATCTTTGCTTGTCCCCTCGGGTGTGCTGGATCCAGAAACCAAGGGGTAACAATGGGACAAAGCCTCCACTTCCCGGGTCAGTTCTCGTAGCCGTCTCCTCACATCTCGGGCATCATACACTATTCGGACCGAGGAACGGCGCCGGGTTATTTCAGGGACATTTGCTGGACCTTGGGCGGGTTGTGAGGCAGACTGGCACTGTGCTTGCTCACCCTCAGCACCGGTCCCTGGCCCCACTCCATTGTTTTTATGGCTCAAAGCCTCTGGGGCGGGAGGCGGAGGGTTCACAGTATACACATAGGCCTCTAGGCCCGGCTCTGATCGGATGTCTCTTTTGAGGGGCCTTCCCTCTATTGTTGGCTGGAAGCGGATGGTCTGGGGAGGTTGCTCTAGACTATCTCGCATCCAAGGTTCCCAGATCTCCTGCATGGGTTGGAAACTTTCCCAGTCCTTAGGACCATCCCAGTGACGGGAGCAAATGGCCTGGTGCTCACGTGGAGGGTTCTCATCATCCGTGTCAGGGGCCCACGCTACTGGGCGGTGGGCACGGCGAGACAGAGAGGCTCTACGGCGGTGACGACGAGTGGGTGGGGGGGTCACAGTCATTTTCACAGGGTCCATGGTACATCGAAGATGGACTTCAGGGCAGTTCTGCTTCCTCGAGAGCTGGGTCAGCTTCTCAGGTGAGGATAATTTAGTAGTTTCTGTGGATTAGGGAGAAGTGAGGCTGTTGGAGAGGCTGGCTTCTACAGAGAGGGAAGGTGGAGCTTTGAGAAAAGCTGCACTTCAGTCTTAAGGAGCAGCTTAGTTACTGTCGGTGGGATAGAAGCCTGGTTTCTGCTCCTCCTAGGCCCCAACCCCTAGCCTTTCTTACCTCTCTCACAAATGATATGGAACATTCGGTGTAAGATGATGCGGAGTCGACTCCAGAGCTAGGTATAGGAGGATATGGTGACTACGAATCGGTTCTTGTAACCAGGCCTGCCTCCCAGCCACCCCATCCACACCCTCCATCCCTCACCAGGGTCACCAAATTGATGCCAATATTAATACAAATGATGAGACCCAACAGCAACAGAATGGAGTTTCCCATGTCCTGGCAGTTGTTGGTGCTAGGGTTTTGATATGAGGCCCACTCAGGCCGTGGCCGCTCAGCCATGGCCATGGTGGTCCCTAGGGCCACCAGGGCCCTTAGGCCCCCAACCCACTACCCCTAGTGCCCACTGTCCTGACAGCCTGGCCCAGAGGGTCCTGAGAGTGACGGGTCACAATGATGCTGAGGTTTTCCCTCATAATGTGCCAAGATGATACTCTCAAGGTGCTAGGTCCAGGATTGACCCTCCAGCCTTATCCCAGGCTTTGGTAGGGGTCTAACCCTTTATCTTGCATGCCTCTCTTATAGCCAGCCTCCCGGGCTCTCTAATCCACTGAGCATCTGCCCTCATCAGTTCCCATTCCTTCTAAAACAACACCAGGCTCTAGACCCCACTGACACAGCTCCTGATCTTGGCCTCCACATTGTCAAGAGTGACCATGAACTTTAGATCCTCCTGTCTTTGCCTCTCAAGTATTGGGATTACAGTGTGCACCATGTCTAGCTTTTTCCTTTCCTTTCCTTTTTTTTTTTTAAGACGTAGCCCAGGTTGGTCTTGAGTTCATGATCCTCTGTAACAGCCTCCTGGATGCTATGATTACAAGTGTTTGTAACCTATTTGCCCATCCTGGCCTTTACCTTAGCCATCCAATCCCATCATTATGGCAGCCTTACTCTTGCCATTTCCCCTCAGACCTTGAGAGTTTTCTGAAAAGGGTTGGGCACTTCTTCCCAGCACCTTCTAACATAACAGCCACAACCAGGGCTGGGTACCCTGTCCCACCACCTTCTAACATAACAACCACCAGGTCTGGGTATCCTCTCCCGCCACCTTCTAACATAACAGCAGATACACCAACAGTTAAACTTTTATATTTACAATATTCTCTTCATCTTTTGCCAGGTTTAAAAATGTGTACAGAGCCGCAAAGGGTTGGGGTGGGAACATGGAATTGTTTGGAAAGGGGCTGGGCATTGGAGTCCGTGGCTGTATCATGGGGTCCCCCAGCCCCCGCCTCACACCCCAGCTCTGGGGCATCTGCTTACAGGGCTCAGGGCCCAGGTTGATAGCATTTGGAAGGCATGGCTGTTCCAAGAATTGCTAGACCAGGCAGGGGAAAGGGCCAGAAAGGAACTACATTTCCATGGGTGGAAGGGGGAGAAAGGACAGGGAACTCAAGACCAAGGATTCTGGATCTGGGTGTCAGTAGAAGTCAGCACCCCACCCCTATACAAGTTTGGCACTAACATCCCACAGAAAGCCACACAATACATGAGGGTTCAGTCACACCTCCACCAGTGCCCCTTAAGACCTTTCCTGATGTCGTTCTTTTCCCCAGAGGTCCAAATCCAAAGACTTCTGGGCAGTTGCCTCCCCCATTTCTTTCAAAATCTTCCTGCTGGTGTCTGCCCAAGCCCTGTCCCCCACGGTCCCCTCCATCTGCTGCTCGGTACAGCTGACCTCATTCTCCCCAACCTGTCTGTGTAACCTTTTCCCTGTCTCCTCCCCTCCCCCTTCTACTGCTCCTTTCCTTCAGCTCAGCCAATCAGGAAGGGGAGGCAGGTCAGAGAAGGTGAAGAGAGAAGGCTGGTCTGACCCTGAGATGGGGAGAGCATCAAAGAAAGAGCCAGTGATGGAGAACGAGAGAGGAAGGCAGGAGAGGAGAAATGACACATAGGGATGAGACACAAGGGGGGAGGGGGGCTTAGCTGCCACCTGTCCCTGGCATTTCCCTTCCCTGGACTAGGACTTAGGGGATCCTTGGCACATTTTGAGTCTCCCAATCCCCCTACCCAGTTTGGCACAGATGAGCAATGATCTCATGGACTGAGGGAAGGCTGTCCTCAGGCCCCATGAGAGCTTAGGTCAAACATGCACAGCCTCTTGTGTGACATGTGCCATGCCCCACATGTTCCCACCTCAGCGTCTCCCTCCAAGTTTGTACTCCCCCAGTGGCTTCTGTCAACTTGAAGTCTGTTCCCACCTGCTATGTGTGCTGGGCCTGAGGTGTGGGGGAATGCAGGTAAGTGCTAGGGAGAGCAGGCCCCTCTGCCTGGCAAACACACAGCCACATGCACAAACATGTTTCCATTCATGAAATGTGTCCTGGACCACGGGAAGGTAAGTTTCCAGGCAGTACTGGGATGCACAGATCTCCTCCCTTTCCTCTAGCAGGACACCTGTGTTGTCTGTGGGAGGCGAGGGCCTCCAGGGAGAACGTGCATCACCTGACTTGTGCCGTGGGGGAGAAACATGCTTTTCAGGGGTGGAGGGGGAGTGGGGTCCAGAGGGCCTGTGATTTCTTAGCTGCTCCCCCAGATACCACCCTGTATTGTCTGGTGGTCAAGGGTCACTGTATATGTGAACATATCACTTCCAGGGGCTCCAGGGAGTGGGGTGGGAAGAAGGCAAAGGCATGAGGGAACAGGATTCTGGGGTACAAATCCCCGCAGAAATTCTTTGAGGGGGCCAACATGTGTCCAGGGCGGCAAAAAACAAAAACAAAAAAACAAACAAACAAAAAAACCCAAAAAACCTCACCCTGCACATGGGAAAACACCCCCTCATGAGGAAAGCACACCTCCACGTGGGAAAAAAGACTTCCACATTTCCACACACCGAAGACTGGTGTCCCAACAGAGGGCAAAAACACCCCCAGGTGTTCAAAGGCCCAGGTCCAGAGAAGAGCATGGGCTTCTCTGCCTGGGAAAAACTTGCATCCCAGTGAGGAATCCCATGTCCACCTTAACGCTGCTCCACGACGTTTGACAAATCCACAGGGGAAAAGCCAGGTGCCAAGTCCTCCTCCCTGCCTTCAAGTGGCCTGGGCTGGGGAGGGCTGGGAGGTAGACCTCCCCAAGCCGCCCCCTATACCCTAGTGGTGGAGTGGGGATGGGGTAGCGTGTTGTTGTGGCTGGTAGCGGTAGGAGGAGGTGGTGGGAAGGGCCCAAAGGGATGGAGGGAAGGAGGTGGGGGTGGGGGTGGGGGCCCCAGGCCACTGGGCAGCAGGGTCAGGGCCCCCGGGGCCAAGAGAGGCACATCGTCCGGTGCCCGGCGCAAGGCCAGGGTATAGTCGGGTGGACAGGCAGGGCGCAGGGCCTCAGCAGGGTCCGCCCCAACACCACCACCCCGCTTCAGCTGCAGTGACACCAGCTCCTCCTCTGGGGGTAGCTCGCGGCCAGCAGTGGGAAGCAGGGGGCCCCCACCAGGCACACCTGAGCCTGAGCCTCCTGGTGGGCTAAGCCGCCTGCACCGAAGCTCCTGTCGCCGGTCCCGCTTGTAGTAGAGGGCGGCAAAGGCAAGGATGTTGAGGAAGAGGAGGGAGGCACCCACTGCCACAGTGACGCTTAACTCCGTGGAGTAGTCCCTCGAGTCACCAGGGAAGCGGTCATAGGCCCTTGGGCCTGGGTCAATATCAGACTCAGGTGGCAGAGTGGCAGGGGGGGGGGGGGGGCGGGGGGCGGGGGGGGGGGTGTGCGAGGTGGCCAGCGTGTGGCATAGGGAGGCAGGCGAGTGGTGGTGGTGAAGAGCTCTGTGTGAAGGTTGTGCAGGTGGGGTACAAGCTCCAGCCAGAAGGCCACCTTGTTGGCACGGTAGTTGTCACGCACGCGTGGTTTCAAGCCTATGTGCAGGTACTGCTTTTCCTTACTGTTGAACTTGCTCCACACCACCTCTTCAAAGCGGTTGGGCTTGGTGTGGATGAACTTGGTGTCCTGTGGCACAGGCTGGTTGGGGTCACTGTGGGCACAGGAGGGCAAGGAAAGGAGTGAGGGTGAGGCTCCTGAGGAGGATGGAGCAGCAGAGGGGGGGAAGAAGTCAGAGATTTAGAGAGTCCAGGAAACATCTAGAGCTAGAAAAATGCGGACATGGTGGTGCATGCCTACTATCCCAGCACTTAAGAGGCAGAGGCAAGGCTTGGCCTGGGCTACAGAGTGAGATCTTGCCAGAGAGAGAAAGCGGGGATGGGTGGGGGGAGGCGCACACACACACACACACACACACACACACACACACACACACACACACACACACACACACACTTCACAACACTGGGGGAGGGCGGACACACACACATACACACACACACACACACACACACACACACACACACACACCACACAAAACACTACAGATAAACCAAAAATTATGAAGACAACTGTAGAGACAGAGATGGAGTTAGAAAAGACATCCAGTGACACAGAACTGAGACTGAGAGACAGAAATGGAGAGACAAAGGCACATGGGAGACAGCCAGGGACAGGAAAACAGAGCAGCCAAAAGTCAAAAACCAAAGAATGCAAAGAAGTCAGTGGACCTCAGGAAAGAGACACACACAGGCAGAAATCCTCTACACTTAGATGCAGGCCAAGGGGGTCAGACAGCAGTCACAACAAAGCCACCTAGAAAGTCCACCCCCAGGAAAGGCCTTTCTAATACCAGTGAATCTCCAACCCTCAGTGCCTGAATACAAAAAGGGAAGGTAAGAGCCAGTGTCTTCTTAGAGGAATGGTGGCTGTGTGAAGCAAGGTGGGAGGGAGAAGCCGCCAGGGAAGGCAAGGGCACCTCAACCTACAGGGGTGTCCCACCCCGCCCCACTAGGCCCTCTGGCCCTCACCCCGTCTTGGCGAAGTTGGTCCAGTAGGTCATGACTACTGCGCTGAGCATGACATCGTTCTTGGAGAAGTTGCAGGGGAAGAGGTCTGTGGCGCCCACCATGGGCACACCAAAGACGTAGGGCAGCTCGTCCCCGTGCGCTGCATCAGCCCACTCTGGCCGGCCCTCAGCCTGGCAGTGGTGGTAAAAGGTGTAAAAGTAGACAGGGGACTGGTAGTCAGCATGCAGCTTGGCAGTGGCCACAGCTGGGGCTACCCACTGGTGGTCAGTAAAGAGTGCCAGCAGGGTCTTCCGCCGCATCTCGCCATTGTCCCGGTCAGCCCAGTCTGTATACATGAACTTAATGGTTTCTCGAAGCACATCCTTGCCCTCTGGATACCCATACAAGTTGTCCACAAAGTTGGAGACAGTGAAGTCAAAGGCGCTGGCGGACACACCATCCTCACTCTCTGCAGAGTCCTCCACGAACTTGAGACCCTCTCCCTGGTTGACACCAATGAGCATGTCGTAGTTGAGGAATTCTCCCTGTTGCATGAGGATCTCGGGGTCATCAGGGACTACATCGCCGTCCACCACAGGCCCAAAGGCAATGTGGTAGCTGGAGAGAAGGAGGCGAGGTCTTACCATCCAGTTGCTGGCTCCTCTGGACCCACAGCTTCCTAAGCCACACAGAGGTGCCCCCCAACCCCCGCCCTTCTGCCTAGAAGACCCTTCTCCATGAATGGAAGACTCCTAGAGTCCTTCAGGGCATTTTGGCTTCTCTGGACATTCAGATCTATGTGATGCGGTGACCTAGGGGTGGTCTGAGGCCCACTTCCCTTTGCCCAGTAGAATACCCCCAGGAACCTCTCACCACAACCTCCTTGGAACCATCTATGGACCTGGACCCAGCCCTCTCCCACCCCCATACCGGGCAGGCTGCACATCCTGGTCCACTAGCTCCCGGGAAGACTTCCGGCGTAGACATTCCACAGCTTCAGTGCTGTCTTCCCGGTCACAGCCCACTTTGGCTGCCAGCAGCCGCGTGTACTTGAGCGGCTGATAGTTGACAGACCAGCTGGAAATGGCGGTGCCACTCTGAGCAATGGCCTTCTGGAACAGTCCTGGTGGGACAGGCAGACCTCAGGCTAGGCTGTAACAGCCGGGAGAAACTTGGTAGGGTGCAGGGAAAGGGAAGGCGGGTGTGGAGGCTGCTGGTACCTTCTGAATGGTGGGAAAGGATCAGCAGGTTGACGCAGGAGGCCCCTGCACCAGACCCAAAGATGGTGATGCGCTCGGGGTCACCTCCAAAGTGGGCAATGTTTTCACTGAGCCAGCGAAGGGCCTGGATCTGGTCCAGAAGCCCATAGTTGCCTTTTGCAGCCTGATCACCAGTGCTGAGAAAACCTAGGGATAGAAGAAAGGGGCTCCCTGGAGGTGTCACAACGCCCTTGCCCCCTCTGCAGGGGTGTAATGTAGTCTGAGTCTATCAGGCTGTACTTGGGAGGACCGGACCCACCAGGACTGCCTCCCAGACCTTGTCCCCCAAGAATTGGCTGCCCACCCTCACCGAGCACCCCAAGACGGTAGTTGAGCGTAGCTACGATGACATTGCCATAGGCAGCCAGGACTGAGCCGTCGAACATGTTCCCAGTGCCCTCCATGTAGGAGCCACCATGTAGAAACAGCATCACTGGTTTCTTCCCAGAGTCCCGGATATCTGCGTGGGAAGGGGGTGGCAGGTGGGCCAGGAGATCGGGGACAAGGACACAGTCAGTCCAGAAGCAGCACTTCGGAGCTCCCAGGCCTTCTGAGGACCAGCCTGGAGCTCAGGGGACTTGTCACTACCATCCCTGGCGGGGGGGCAAGACCGGATTCCCCTCCCTCCCTCCCCAGCTAACCCTAGGAAGGCCCCTCTTCATGACTCCAAGCACTTCCCCAAATGTTGGGCACACTTTCCAAGAAGCCCAACAGAGGCCAAGAGTAGGAAGTGGCCCTCCTGGGGGCTTCTGTTGAAGCAGGGACCCCTACACACACACAGCAAATCTTCCTCCTCCTCCTCCTGAGAAGAGTGGACTAAGGCTGGGACTAGGGCTGGAGGTGCTGGGAGGGTCCTGGCATCTCCTCAGACTCAGCCTTGGGCCCCAGCTCCACATGGCACCCTAGTCTGTGGGTGAGGGGTGCCAGGCCCTAGGGTCCCTGGGGGCTTGGTCTCCTCCCCGCCCTAATTCCTTTCTAGGTCACCTCCCCAGTTACCATGGCAACCCCCAGCCTAATTACTGTGGCAGGAGGAGGCTGTTTAATGAAGTTGGAGTACAGCTTTGACTCTTGGACTCCCCGCCCTCCAAACTGGCCTTTTCCCGCACTGAAGCCTCTTGCCATCAACTAAAAGAATTTCCTGCATAGCTGCCACATGTAGCCAGCCATAAAGCTCTGGACTGAGCTAAGGAATGAAAATTCCTAAAGAGGGTGGGTGGAAATCTGGGAGAGCTTGTCAGGGTCTTCAAGACTATAATCTGCTTCCCCACTGTTACCCTGATTTCACTAACGTCCCAAGGCTGGGGTCAACTCCAGCTCTCTTGGAGCTCTTATCATGCTTGGTGGGCTCTGGCTCAGTGGCATCTGCCCTGGTAGCCGGCACCTGTGCCAACACTCTCACCCTGCCGGAAGGTCAACCTGCAAGTCATAGGACACACCTCCTGCTCCAAGACCTCTGAATCTCTAGAATCTGTGTCCACCCACAAGATCCTATCATTTCTGCCTTAACTTTACAGAAATCTCGGTCAACAATGCCCTTCCTTCCAGGGTCCTGTCCTAAATGTCTTCATTCTCTCCCACCCACCCCCAAGCCCTCTCCCAGTGTGGGGGGAGGGAGTTAGAAAGGGAAGGAGCAGGAAGAGGGGCAGGGGCAACAAGAATTCAAAACCAACAACAAAAACCAGGATCAAGAAAGAAGAAAGAAAGAAAAAAAACAACAAAAACAGCAAGAAGCTCTTGGGGCAGATTCAACAAGAAAAGAAAAAACAAAAAGCTCCATTTGGGAAAAAAAGAAAACAAGAAAAAAATTCTTTGCATTATTTCAAAATTTTGTGGTGAAACTTCAAGATATTGGGCCCTGTTTTTAAAAGTTTTCCAAATTCTTTGATTTGCTTCAGATGTTTACATTTTTTTTTTAATCTGACAGGCTTTTGGTTAGAAATTGTAACAGGTTTCTGATGTTTTGATTAATGTCATTAATTTGTCAATTTTTTCAAATATTATTTTGCTTCAAGTTAAAACTTTTTTTTCAGATGATACATTTCACATGTTACAAAACAGTCCAGATTTCTTTCAAACTCTCAACATTTTGTCCAATTTTTTTTCCCTGGCAATCCAATTCCTTTTCATTTTTCCACCTCACTTTCACCATGGATAGCTTCTCTCGAAGGTTAACTAGTGGGTCCAACATTGTTCAAATTTTGTTTGAAGTTTTCATAATTCTTTTTTCCAATTATAAAATTTTTTCTTTTCTTTTTCATTTTTAGTTGGGAGAACAACTGAGGGGGCCTTGAGGGCTATGGGGACATTTAGTTAGGGGCAGGGCCATCAACGTCCTCTTCAAAGCAACCACATGCATCAGCGGGATTTTTAAATCTACCTGTGTCTGGCGGATTGAGCGTCGCCTCGTCACGTTTTTTTGTGAGCGGACCTAAGACCGGGAACACAAAACAGAGAAAAAAGGACAATTTTGTGGGGAAAGACGGGGGTCAGGGGAGGTGGTAGATGGGGAGGGGAGGAGAGAAAGCAGAAAAGGGGAGGGTGGGGAGAGGCAGAAAAAATAAGCCAAAAAAAGCAAAATTTGTTTGCAAGAAAAAGAAACCAAGAAAAGAGAAAAACGTTTCTATAACCCAATTTTCCCCTCCCCAGAAAAAGTCAAGCCCCAAAGAAAAGGTGGGTTTGGGGGGTGGGGTGCCTGAGTGGGCTGAGGCTGTCTTGAGACACAAGGACTTAACTGGAAAGGATTTGGCTTTTTGGTGTGTTTGCTACTTGCTGGAAATGAAAGTGTTAGGGGGATGGGGTGGAGGGGGAACCTAGGGACACCAAGTCTGGCTTGCCACCCAGGCCATCTTTCATGCAGGCTCCTTGCAGGGCCAGCCCCGTGCTACGGGCTGCCCACCTCAGGCTGTAAGAATTGGCTGTGCAGAAAACCTCTGCTTCCCTTTGCACTGTTCTGGAGATGAGAGGTAGGATGGGCTGGGGCAGACCATAGCTCATGGGCTGCCCACCTGAAGCCCTCTGCTGCCATCTGAGGGGCTATGGGTAGGTCAGTTAGGGCTGCCCACCTGCTCGCCTAGCAGCCTCATTACTTTTCCATCCACACTCACAGGCCTGGCTTCTCGTCCCATTTCCCCAATGTGGGCAAAGCAGGGAAAGGGGTCATCAGGTCTTGCCCTCCACTCCAGCTTATCCCTCCACACTCCCGCCAACCTCATCCCTTGCCCAGGCCTCTTCTCCTCCCCACCAAATTGTGATTTTCCCACGGGATCACCAGCCCCACCCCCAGTCCACTGCTAAAGAGCCCTCCTCCCCCTTTGGGTATTCATTCTGTCAACAGCATATAGAAAACAGTGCCCTGGGCCATTCTGACATATAAAGTAGGTGGTGTGCTGGGAGACAAAAATGGTCCAAACACCAGGAAAACTCTCAGACAGCCCAGAGCCTGGTGTGAGACTGCTTCTGGATTTGGGGTTAATCGGGGGAGACCTGGATCTGAACAGTCTCAGGGAGTTCCCCAGGCTGACTGGCGTTCCCCAAAGCTCAAGGAGGGATAGGCCAACAAGGCTCAGGCTAACACTGACAATGATGATCCACTTGGGAACAGGACCTCTATTTTGTGAGAGGGTATGGATAGGGATGAAGTCAGCAGGGTATTCATGACCGTGAGACTATGAAGTGTGCCTGTGTGTGTGTGTGTGTGTGTGTGTGTGTGTGTGTGTGTGTGTGTGAGTCAACCACTTCCTCCTAGAGCTGGTGTGAAGATTCAGTGAGATCACCTGAATGTGTCAGGCCTCAATCAGGTCTGCAATATGCAACGGTTAAAAATACAGAAGGTGTGGGAATGGGTGGTATGGAGGCAGGGGAGAGACAATTTTTGTGGAGATGGAGTTGACAGTCCAGCGGTGAGAAGTGGTAGATGTTTCACAGAGGGGTGATGAGAAAGCTCCCCAGAGGGAGTCATAGAGTGGATAGCCTCTGTGAAAGTTTGCATGTTACTGGTCATGGTGGATCATGCCTGTAAACCCAGCACTCAGGAGGTTAAAGCAAGAAGATTATCAAAAGTTCAAGGCCAGTCTGGGCTTCATAGTGAGTTCTAGGCCAGCTTAGGATACAGAGTGAGACCCTGTCTCAAAAATAAATAACCGTACTCGTGCCCGCACACGCGCGCGCGCGCACGCGCGCGCGCGCACACACACACACACACACACACACACACTCATGTGGCAATGGAGATTCAATGAATAGCAGTGTTGAGAGGGTGTCTTTTGGAAGATATTAAGGTGAAGGACTCATAAGTGAAAGGATACTGGGATAGGTGGTCTGTGAAAGGGCAGAAAAATCCTGTGGTTAGGTCGTTAGAAGTCATGGTTTTATATGGGGAGGGGTAGTTAGCTAGTATGCAGGGCTGGAATGAGGGGCAGTAGTTGGTCCATATAAGAGATAACAGGATGGACATGGGCAGGTTAAAGTTATGAGTCGTTCTGTGATTGGCATAGGAGGAATCTTGGTGTAAGGTATAAGCTGTTAGTACTGGACCTTTCAGAAGGGCGAACTCCAGGTAGGGGAGGGACTAAACAAAGTGCCAAGAATGCTGAGGACTGTGGTGTGAGGAGCCTGTCAATACCCATCAACAACAGTCTGTGTGCAGGGGGTATGTGGGTATAAAACGCACATGTGGGCATTACCAGGACACACAGTTTGCATCCAGGGGTACTAGGAAGTTAGAGTCTATGTGAGTAATGGGAATCTCTTGTATACTCTGTAAAGGGATTGGGAGCTGAAACTTTTAAGATATTGGAACAGGAGGCCAGCTGGACAAATGGTCATTTTGAGCAGTGGAGACCCAGTTACTGTAGAACTTTAGTACACAATGTTGAGGAACAGGATTCTTTGGGGGCTCCTGATCGCCAGGACTGAATGTAAAGTTACTAGAAACAGTAGCTGGAGGAAGCGTGCAGCGGAGTCTGCTCTGTGGAGGTGTTGGAATGTTTTTGAGTGGTGAGATTGTATGTCAGAAGGGTGATATGGGGGCTGTTTGTGATGCTGGCTCTCCCCACCCTTTGGTAGCTGGGATCTGTTGCAGACAGTAGAAGAGGTTCTGGTTAAGAAGGCTGGTGAGTGTAGAGCTACCTGGGAGCAAGTGCTGGGATACAGCTGTCATACAGCGAACAGGAATCCATTCACAAGAACAGCATTTCAGCCCTAAGGAAACTGTGGTGATGGGTTGCTGTGCTGTGAGTGGAAAGGAGTTTGTCAGGAAGCTTCCCTGACCCCTCAGGGATGTGTGGGGATGTCTGTTTAGAGGACAGAAATCTCCTGTACCTAAGAAGTCACTGAGTACCACTGACATGGGCACTCAATCAGGTAAAGGACTGGATAGGTGCCATATGATAGACAGAGGTCAGGGCGGGTGGGCCTGAGGATGGGACTCTAAGTGGTATGGCTGGAACTAAAATGTGGGTCTAGTTAGGTGGGAGGAGACAGAGGCAAGGCTGGAGTGACAGAGCGAGCCATGGAGACATTTATCACCTGAATGAGCCTCTTTAGGGACCACCAACATTAGCCACCAACATTGAGATTAAGTATCTGACTGTGCCTCTTTAGGGAGAGCCGGGTGAGTCTGACCTAATGCCAGCTACCCTTCCTTCTAGGGCACAAAGAGTTTCTGCTGTGGATGAGACTACTTATGGGGTGTTACTAGGACTGCCTGATAACCAGGCGCCCTTACCTGGGAGGATGCGCAGAGGCTTGCAGGGACATACTGCCCCTCATTGCCCATCAAGGCACGGCTTAGGGGCAGGAGTCGGTCTTGTGCCTGAGGGTCTGCGTGTGCGTTTATGGGCTGTGTCCACAGGGTGCCCGGCCTTGTGCCCGTGCCCTTACCGTCCTCAGTGGGCACGTAGAGGTTGAGGTACAGGCAGTCCTCGCTCTGGTTCTGCACGTAGGTGGCGGCCGCCTCCAAGTTGTCGGTGAACCACACAGGCAGCATGATGGCCGGCAGGGCCCCGTGCAGGTTCTGCGGGCAGGCGGGCGGCAGGGAGGGGG